TAACTTTAGGTATGACACAATAGAGGAAGCTTATATAAATTTCAGTTGCCAGCTGGATCCCAGGCCTCTCAGCCTGTTCCCCATCTTACTAAAGAAAAAAAAAGGAAAAAGACATGAAAAGACTTCTAAGAAATGCTATGTATGAACTCATACAAAGGTTACCAAACAGCAATAAGATGGGATACTTTCCTATCAATCTGGAACAAATTGAAACTAACATGTTTAAGTCTCTACAACACATTAAGATTCCTGACAGCCCTAGACTCTTCAGAGCCATTTTTGTTCATGGTATCTATTTTCTCAGCACCCTCAAATCCAGTAAAACTAAAAGCTGCTAAGATGTTTAATGCAGTTAAAGTTAGTGTTAGAGATACAATTGGATATAGCAAATTCTCATTTTGGTCAAATATATAAATATACATTTTCAAGATCCTACCACTTGAACAACAGGGAGCATGGAGAACAAAGTGTTGCTAGAGTAACTTTTTAGCACTCTCAAATGCATTTTTCATAAAACAGATGCCTATAATAAAACTAAACATTTCCTCATCCTCCTCTCCCTCTCCCAGTACATGGCATATGTTCGGTTTGGATGAGTAGAAATGTATTGTTTGAGATGGCTGCTACTCTATACCTTCTTCTATCAGAGTAAAGCCAATATATGCAATGAAATTTACATCTGAATATATATTCAGTATATATATATATATATATATATATATATATATATATATATATATAAAGAGAGAGAGAGAGAGAGAGAGAGAGAGAGAGAGAGAGAGAGACTAAAGATGGATTTTTTTCCAAACAGAACCTAAACAAATTGACTGAATTATGTGCCCATCATGCACTTTGGCATACTACAACAATTCAGTCTTTGTAGTATTAGAGCAACCTACATAACAGGAAAATGGATTTTTCTACCATTACCATAAAAGCATTGCAATGGCAGAGGTTAAAAGTCAGCCACAAAACCATAGATCCTCTCTAGGCATAATTCAAAAGTGTTTGCATATCGGCCACATGAACATTCATTTATCTAAATCAAATCCATTAAAGTTCTGGGTTAATGGTAAATATTACGCCATCCCCTTAAAAATAAAAACCCATCAGGCATTAGATTTTCAAGATACATTTTAATCAGAGCATTCTTGTGGTTTTGGCTTATAGATTATTGCAGGTAAATTGAAATCCAGATAAATTGGGAGGAAATAACTTGTGATACCAACATCTTATATTAAATTGACACAGCCCTATCAAAATGAGTAGCATAACCGTATTTTTTCCTGTTTCTGTGCAACAGAAAGCAGTAAAAATTATATATGTTACATATAAAACGTATATGTTACAAATGCTATTTGTCTTTACAGGTTGGTTTATAATGAGAAAATATCTGCTGAAATATACATTTAGGTTTCATGACTATTGACATACAATATACTGTAACTGGAATGAGTTAAGCCCATTAAATAAAAACTTCCAAATTCTGTTCCTTCTTTTTATAAGGATTAAAATCAAGAGATTAAAGGCTCAAATGCAACCTATCGGAAAATGTTAGTTGGTCCCCAGCTGCCAATTCAAAAAGAAGCTGTAAAGGTATGCAGAGAATATTTAGTACCAAATTAACAATGATTCTGGCCAATGGTTGAGTTTGGGACAAATGGGAGGAGTTTCACCATTGTCACATCAAAGTAACTTTCCACATACAAATTGCTCTATGTTGGTCAATAGTTCCCTTCCTCCCTTACTAATTGTTAATAATAGTTCTCAAATTATATCAGCATAAACTCTTAATTATATTTCAGCTGCATTTATACATACACACACACCCAAAATAATAGGGGAAGATTTAAGCCTTATTTTGTCGAAACAAGCCATACTGTTTCGACAAAATGGGTCAAAACATGTTTTTTTTTAACGTCTCTTATTGTATATTGTTCATATTGTCTTTGTTGTAAGCTGCCCAGAGTCCTCAGAGAGTTGGGCGGCATAGAAATACAAATAATAAATAAATAAATAAATAAATAAATAAATAAATAAATAAATAAATAAATACTGCTCTGTTTTGTGCATAATTGTAAACCAAAACAAACAAACTCTATGGCTTTGTGTTGCATGCAAATCATGCTATTGTGTGTTGAGAGTTACTCAATGCCTGCTATGATAGTTTACAATTCCAGAAGACACTGTTTCTCCCAATTATAGATAGCAGCAACATTCTTAAATCTATTCTTATCATGGCTCAAGTGCTCAGTTTTTGAAACCAAGAAGAATGCTAAAGGTGAAATCCCCATTCCCATTCTGAAAAGCCATTTTCTCTGTACTGGGAACAGTGAGTCTCATTTAAATGATATGGAATGACATAGAACCATAGTGAATCTTCTCATGGGCAATCCCTACTTTTTTTAATGAGTTCTAGAGTATTCCTGCAAAAGGATTCCAGAGCTGAAAATTGGAGTACTAGACTTGGACTCTCCATGTATTTGGAAAGTATGAGTGATACACAATATTTTAAAATATTGATGTCAGAGTTTATCCATGGTTCTTATAAATCTAGATCAGAAGCTGTGTCTTGCCAAGGACATAAGCTCCTAAGAACTTTTCTTCTTCAAGCTGATAGTAATGAACATCTGTGCTTATATATTGTTCCTTTCTTTTCAATTGAATTGGCTGAGGAAACAGTTCCAAATACCCGTTAAGGATAATACCAGAGTACAGCAAAGTCCACAAGGAAAAGCTACAACCTATCAAAGATACCCCCTGTGGGCTTATCATACTCAGCAGAACTATTGAAGTAGCCTGATCATCAGTCTCCCTGGTTGGCTTTGAACACAATATATTTCCCACAGTCGTGTCTGATTCAAGTACATGCTGGTCATTGGTCTGTGTCTGTTGAACAAGCTCATCCATGCCTGGGGTTAGACTGCTTGGTTTGGTTCAATAAAGCCACTATTTTCACTGCACATCATGGATCTGTCTTTATTAGCGGTCAAGAGATCAACAGGCCTTTCAAACGGTTCTTTATGTTCACATAAAAAAGTAAAGCAATGCTTTTATTCATTTACTTAAATGAATATAAATAGAATTGTCTTTCTTTTAAAAAATTCTCAGTGGGGCTGCTCTTGGCTTTAACTCATTTAACCAGACTCAAAATAATATGATTTTTGTTTTGAACATTGAGCATATCTTTTATGTCACAGAAAGGAGGGTTTTTTAAAATATTTTTGCATTGTTGTAATACTGGAGAGTTTCACATATGTAACTTCAAAGGCAGTGTTTTCAGGAGGGAATCCTTAAGAAAGTCTTACCAGATGAAAGGTAAATTTCTCATACAATAAAGCCGATGCCTTATTGTTGGTATAATATAAAGGAATCTATACAATCTCAAGACACCATACGAGTAAAAACAATGTACAGACTCTGCACAGACATGTGGAAAGAGAAGGTCAATTTCTTCCAAAGACAAGCTGATCATAAAATCACAGCTGGTATTGTGATATGTACAGTCTCGTGTTCTATTGGACTTTGGGATAAATATTAAAGTTACGTACATTTTGTATGAAATAGGGAAGAAGTTTCCTAATTAATAGAAAGCAGATTGTAACCTAACAGGTAGCTTTTTCCTAACATAGGTGGAAGTGTTTTTATAAGCAACTCTTTAAACTGACTATTTTAAAAGTATAGTAAATTTTATTTCATGAGGGTTGTATATCATATTAATATTTGCTAATTTTCTTCTCTACCAATTAGATTTTCCAGTTTGGAATCTACTGCAATTACCTTCATCTTACTGATTTATTGTAGGTAGCAGAAAAATGGGGTGCAGAAGATATATTAAATATTTAATTTGGATCCATGGCTTGGATTTACCATGATGGGGAAGATAAACATGAGGAATTAGGTTAACTATAAAGAGCACTGAGCAATTTTAGAAATGGGTTTATTTCATCAATATTCTTGTCTATTACACTGAACCTTGTCTACTAAATACCTATCAAAAAGTCTTGCCTTCAAATATTTATGTTAAAAACATGCATTCTTCCAGGTAACACTGAATTATTTTCTAAGTTTTTTTTCTGGCAACACCAAATGTGGAACCTTTTTCTTAAACCCCTTTCAATTGTACAGAATCAAAATGATTTATAATGAGAATATAATTGTTTAAAATATACAATTCTGAATCAAACATCCAGAATCAAAAATACTATCATTCATTATTACAATTGCAGACTTTTTAGATTATTCTCACTGCCTCATTCCTTGCTCAATATGCAACCTGATACAAAGTTCTAAAGAAGATCCTGCATCAGTATTGTTCTAACAATAGCGATCTATTGAAAATATATGGACTTCAACTCCCAGGACTCCCTAGCCAGCATGGGTTATAGTTCACATATCTTGAAGATGCCATGGTTGAAAAACACTGCTCTATTCAAATCAAATCAAATCAATTTATTACAGCCATAAGGCTAGATATGACTGCTCTACTCTGAAATGAGCATCATCCCTTTAAACGTTCACCATGAGTATTCCTTCCTGCCTGAAATCAAGACGCCATCACATCTTTCCTCTTCTGCCAAATTTATCCTCAGGGTGTGCTTCAAAAAGTCAAGATGTCAGCAGCAACAATGCAATCAATGCTGTGCACATTTTTATGTGTGTAAACAGATAAACACAATCATAGTTGTCTCCACCTGTTGGGCCTTCAACCAGCCATTCCTCTCCCTGCTGGAGAAGACAGGAAAGCTTGGAAGGGACAATCTTGTCCCTTTCCCTGGATTAGTTACCTTTTTTCCCATAGTGATAGTGTTGTGATACCCACAACATTACAGAACTTCTTAGGTCATTTGTTTTCAGCTCAACTGCAGCACAGTTGAAACCACTACAAATCATATTTATCACAGTGTGGGAGTGCTATTGCTGTTTTTAATCCCATTGCTTGTTGGGAATTCTTGGTTCAACCTTCCTCTATTTCCTGATTTCAGGAAAAATGCAAAGGAATGAAATTGAGAAAAAGTTTTACAAGTTTATCCTTCCTGTTCAACACCCAGAGAGACTGCAAAATAGTCAGTTTATTAGGATATAGTATTTTCTTTTCTTCCTGCTTTGGGTGAAGTGGCAGCTGCTAGGGGTAGGAACAACTTTCAGCATCTCAAGCCATCAGAACTGATAAAATTCAGGGATGCCTCCACGCTGCTTATAAAAGTCTGAGGGTTGAAATGTGGCAGAATGGAGATGCTGTAACTGGTTTCTTGTTTGGATGAAATCCAAGCCATGGATCCAAATGGTCTTACTGACTTGGGCCATCATTACAGGAATTGTGTCTGAAATATATTAGGACAACACTGATTCACAATTTATGCCAAAGGAACAGTGTGGTTTTTTAAAAAATGCTTAGGTCACTGAAGTAGACTACAGACCAGGAGTATTCAACCTGTGAATCACAGTAGGTACAGCCCTCAATTAATTACAATCTGAAGAGGTCATGAGTTTTCCTGATATTTTATTCAGAAAATATTTATTTGATTAGTTCCCTCCAATACACATTCTTGATTCCATCAACTTGGAGATTTTTTTTTTCCAAATCACAAAATGTACTTTCCTTGTCTGCTAACTGCCTTCAAAATATAGGCAGTAAAGTTCACTGATATGTCAATTAAGAGCTAGGCAGCTAACTTTTCAACTTCTTAAAAACAGGCTGACAACCTACTAATGCCATACAGTATGCGGAAGCCGTTAAATTGACGCAGTTCAAAAACTTAGGAACACACGGCTTCTGGAAAGCGTTTTGCCGATGCCTGTGGAGCGAATGGGCTAGTTGAGGCCGATGATCAGTTTAGCGATCTCCTTACATAACGTTTACGACTCTCCCGCGGGGCACATTCGCCACATAAGCTCTCCAGACGCTCTCGGCCTGCCCCGGCGCGGGTTCCTCTTAACGCTCCCAGACAAATCGATCCGACGGGCTCGCTGGCTGCGACGCGCGCAGGAAGGAAAGCCGAAGCCTGACGCAGCCTATCAATACCGTCGCGGACCGACGGGGAGACAGATCGACAATAGATTAGCTCTAGGCCGGCGCGTAGTACAAAAAGAGCGAGTTCCCTCTTTCCCTTTTTTTTTTTTCCCCTGGAGTTCTGCAGAGCGCCTTTTGATCGTTTTTCTAAAGCCAAGATCAACCAGGGGAGAGAGCTTTAGTTGGGACTGGCCTTGCCCAACTCCTGGGTGAACCGCAGGGCTGGCCCCATTCATTACCGTGGCAGGGTTGATAGAGCTTTTTTTCCTTCCCTGAAGGCAACTTCGCCAAATACCTCTGTTTCTAGCTCTCCTGCGGGGAAAAAGAAAGGCATTCTGCACATGCTCGGGTGCTCCCTGTGAACTCTCATTTCAGTTGTCAGCTCAAGATAGGGAAGGAGGCCTTTGAAAATCCTCACCGAAATGAGTCCTTCTTATACTTCTCAATCACTACAGGAAATATTCAGGCCTCTTGTTTCCTTTTCGCTGATTTTTCTTATTGTTTATTTACTTATTTAACGACCCTCTTCAAAATATTCCCGGACCTATTACTTTCCTCAGTCTGAATCGTTCTTGCCTAAAGCACAGTGGAGTTCTGCCTTTCTATTTTTACACAAATACTGGCTTATTTGTCTTAGGCTGTTACTGTCTATTACTGCTGGAAGTCTGGAGAAAGGTGGGAAGCGGCTGATTCTGGCAATCTGCCTAAAGAGAAATCAATGAAACAAATTAATCCTTTGCAGGCTGCAATGACACTGTAATCCATCATTCAGGACTGCTTTTATACACCAAATCAGAGAGCAGAGAGAAAAGCCCAGGGGAACATCGCAGACAACAACTAACAGCAACCCTGGGAAAATACAGAGGAATCCGTTTATTTAAAAAGGATAGATTTCACTTGATGGCCTGTTTCATCCTATCAACATCTTTCTTTTCTTCTTTCTGGCCTGGATGAGAAACCATGAAGAAATGACTATATTTTCAGAGCCCTGCTCATCCCTTTCTGCTTTATTCCAGCCTGTGGACTTTCCCCTTTTTAGAATCTGACAGAGGCGTTGCCAACTGAGGCCAAGCATCAGTGAGGTTTCAATGTCATCTACACAAGATCAACCCTTCTGCCCTCCGTTCCATTAATCTTTTTAGAATAACTGTTCCTCCTGCCCCCTTCTGCATCCACAAACATATAGTCTGCAATCTTAGACCCATTCCCTGGGGAGTAAAACCCATTGAACTGGGTGACCTTACCTTCTCAGTGGTATTTGCTTTGCTGGACCTCTTTCGTTGATATCTCAGAAGTCCCCAAAATATGTTGAATTGTTATCTCTCATACAAGATACCCACGCATTCCAGAGGTTGAAATTCATTGCTGCTGGAAGCTGGCACTGGGTTGTGAGGATTCCTCTATTTGGTAGGAGACACCAGTATCAATGAATTGGGGACAAGACCAAGAATTCCCTCCGAGTTTAATGAGATGTAATCACAAATCAAGGAGTTTAGGCGCAGCCTAAGATGGGCTAATTTGGGATGGGGCTCAATAGCAAGAAAGGCTCAAATTCAAGCAATTTCCTGTTTTATTTTAAAAATAATCACTCTCTCACTGACTAATATTTCCTTTGCCTCTGTATGTTGTCTTTTGTTTATTATGGCCTGGAGTTTTAAGGGCTATAAATTGGGCACCTCTGTACAAAAGGGCATCTGTACAAGTGGGCAGCTTAGTAATCAAAATTACTAATAAATCTCTAAGAAAGCTTGCCTACCTGTTCTAAGCTGATATACTCAGAATTGGGATCTTTTCACTTTTTCTGTCTATTAAATCTATGTCTTATTTTTGCTCCTTCATGCATCTGGAATAACTTAAATGAAACAAAAAAGTGACTTACTTACTGCCATTCTGGGTTTTTACAGCCCAGATCTAGTAACTTGGGTTGGATAGCTAAAGAATGTAGGAAAAAGAGAAATAACCTTGCATTTGCCATCCTAATTTCACTCAGTATAATTAACAACAAGACGGATGGTTATGGAATTTCAGCTTCCTGTCAATGCTATGTTTTTGTTTGTTTTGTTTTGTTTTTTAATTTTGGAAATTAATTGCACAGTATTCCCATAAGCTTACTCGGAGACAAGAAGGCATACAGTTACAACCTAGCACATTTTTTAAAAATCAAAGGTGAAAAGCTGGAGAAGGTTAAGATATGTTCCACATCCAGAAGCATTATCTCATCTGGCTCCATCAACGGGATGCAGAATAACATTTACTGAGTGCCAGTATTTTCTTCCTCCCATTCTTATTAAAACTTCCTGAACTCTGTGTGTGTGTGTGTGTGTGTGTGTGTATGTGTGTGTTTAATTTGCTTTAAACTAATGGCAGATATCCTTGCACCTGGCACCCACACATACATTCTTTGGAGTGGCATCAGGCTAATTCTAACCCCCAAAAGCCCTGTCTTCATTTGCGGGTTATATCGGTACCATCAACTCTACAAACTTCCATTTTCACCCATATGCTGGCCTTTAACTCTGAATTTCAAGCCTTCATATATCTGAAGACGTGTTCTCTGGCCTGTGCTGACAGAGTCTGACTATGGCAACAAAATGTGGAATTATCCATAACTATAGTCACGTGGGATGTGTTTTAAGCCATGGAAAGGTATAGTTAGCCTTCTTCCTTTTGGTTTCTGGCTAATAAGATATTCCATCCAGCCGTACATAGCCAAGCACTATGAATTCAAAATGGAGATTGCAGTCCAGACAGTCCAGTTATTGGGGCAGTTCTTTTTTGTCAATTCAGCAAAGGCTTGGGAATTGCATTAAACCACTAGTGGGGACAGGTTCAAAGACAAGCCAGTCCCAAGAAGAATCTGATGATAGCATAAAGGATGACAACATTTTCGGAGAGGCAATCTTTTGGGAGGATACTTTATGATTTCTGAGTCAATTGGATCCTCCTTAGAAGAAAGAAATTAAAACCAAACTCTGCTTTTAGTATATTTTTGAAAGCAGTCCTTTCTAGCAGCTGGCTTATCTTCCAGCTATAAAAACAAAACAAAACCTTGTGCCCAATAACCTACCTCAGAAGATAAGTGTCTAAGCTCACAGTACCTTGCTGTTTTACACACTTTGTGTAAAAGGGATTGTGAAGAGCTCTGGAAGAATGCTTGCAAAGTTAGGAAAAGCAATCTCTCCCAGCCACTGACAAATGCTCAACAGGTTTCCTTTGAGCTGCAAGCGAGGATTATCAAAACAATCGCAGCTATATTTCCTGACATACAGAACTGGATCTTTCTTGGAACAGGAGACTAGAAGAGGAGCTTTTTCAATTAGGTTTGTTTGAAGAACACATGGAGTTCTTTTTACTATCTTTGGTTTCAGCCAAGTAGGTGATTAAATCCGGGATTGTCAACTACAACCCTACAGACTTCTTCAATGCTTTTCCAGGCCTAAAGTCTTAAGTTGTTTCCTCAGTAGTGATTTATAGCATTGTACAATCATTGCCGTGTTGCTATAACAATAACAAGACAGGCTTTATATTGCCACAGCAATGGCCTGGTGTCATTTAAGATGAAATAAATCATTCATGACCTAAATTTGAGATTTGGTGCTCCTGTGTAGGGTATTTAGATTGCAATAACTCATTCAAATGATATGGTAACATTCCCAACTCAATTTTCTCCAGGTGTGATAGACTACGACCTCTGTAATTCCATAGCTTGCTTAAGCTTTGGTCATGCTGATTCAGGCTTAAGAGAAACCCTGTGTAGGGAAAGGCTAAAGTAGGGGAAACTGCTGGATATAGCTTCCTTCCCCACCTGATGAATTAGTTTGAAAGTTTCCCCACATCGTGTGAGGGTTGATTAGATCCACTGCTAGTCACAATAACTGCAAGAACAGGTTTTTGGTTGTATGCAGAAGGGAATTTTTTATGGCTTGAGAAATTATTAAACCTCACATGTCCTGAATTGTAGAAAAGTGGTGTACAAGGTAATCAATCTGGTTTAGGGAACCTCAAGAACAAAATTATTCTTTGCATGGTCCAGTGTGTGGATCCAGAAGCCATCATTTTTCATAGGGCAACCCTGCTACAGAAAAAGTATGTCGTAATGAAATAATTGTTTAAATTGTTGTACAAGGAATGGTAGTAAATCCTGAAATGATATTCTGTGCATGATAGAATATTCTATGCATGATAGCCATGACCCTAGCTAGTTTTGCATCCTTAGTGATGAATCCTCCAAGCCAGACTCAAGAACAAAAACCTTTCCTGCTGTTGCTCTCAGCAACTGTAGTGGAGAGAGAGATTGCCAACTGGGAGGTAGGAAACAGCCATTGATATGACTGGTCCAGAGGATCACTTAGGATGGATGATAACAGTGATCCCATTTTAAAGATTGTTTGGTCAAGTAGTTAAATCACCAGGCTAAAAACCATAAAATCAGTTCTAATCTTGCCTTAGGCATGAAAGGCCACTGGGTGACTTTGGTCCAGTCACTTCTTTCTGCTACTGATGCTTGAAAAATTTGGTTCATCAGTTGGTCAGTTAATTCCTGGTCACAGCTAATGGATCAACACTTGGTTGATCTGAAAAACGACAGACCCCGCACTTGAAGGAAAAACTAGGATGAAGACCTTGGTAAGACCACACTTGGAATATTGTGTCCCATTTTGGTCACCACAATATTTTTTTTAAAAAAATGTTGGGACTCTAGAAAGAGTGCAGAGAAGAGCAATAAAGATGATTAGGGGACTGGAGGCTAAAACATGAAAAACAATTATAGGAATTGGGTATGGCTAGTCTAGAGAAAAGAAGGACTGGGGTGACTGGGGTGAAGGACTGGGGACATGATAGCAGTGTTCCAATGTTTGAGGGGCTGTCAAAAAAACAGGGGTCAACCTATTCTACAAAGCACCTGAAGGCAGGACAAAAAGTAGTGGATAGAAGCTAATCAAGGAGAGAATCTATCTAGAAATAAGGGGAAATTTCCTGACAGAACAATTAATCAGTGGAACAGTTTGCCTTCAGAAGTTGTAGGTGCTTCATCATTGGAGGTTTTTAAGAAGAGACTGGACAGCCACTTGTCCAAAATGGTATAGGTTCTCAAGCTTGAGCAGGGGGTTGGACATCCAAGGTCCCTTCCAACTCTGTTATTCTAAAAAAGAGCCCATTGGTGGACATTGCTGAGTATTGTAATAGAAAACTCTGTCATGTTAAAAAAAAATGCTTCCTTTTACATTAAATCATCTACCATTCAGCATTACTGAATGACTTTGAAATCTAGTATTATGTGTGAAGGACAAACCCAATTACTTTCTCTGCATCATGAATATACTTTTACAGTATTCTCCCATGTTTATACTAATATTTTAAAAGGCCATTGTTACAATCCTTTGAAGAATTCTTTATTTAAGTTGTTTTTTCTGGAAGTTTTCCAGCTTGATAATATTCTTTTTGAAATATAACAACCTATTTAAAGTATGGCCATGCCATAAATTTCGTTAAGCTTATTATGATATAAACCTTCTTGATTCACTTGTGAAGAACCCTATGAATGTTTTATATAGCCTAACTACACAATCACCCACTCCATATTTTTGATGATACTCTTGAAGAATATAAAACTGTTAGACAGAACTTTTGACTACAAAAGGAAGATTGGTTCTCCTCAACAAGGACATATTTTATTACAGCTTGATATTTTTATATTTTGCAATACTTTTTGGTATTTTATCTGGAACAAATAGTGAATTAACTACCCAATAACTTCCTATATCTCCTCCTGTTAAACTACACATTTTAAAGGATTTTTTTTTTAAAAAAAAAATCTCAAGTACAGAGTTTCCATTTAGGAGCAACCTATGTAACTTTGTTAGAATATTTGCAATTTTGCATTGAGGCAATGTAATAATTTTTAATTCATGTATTAGACCTAGAATTTAATATATTATCATCTCTGCTTGTCTTTCTCTTTCATACTTTCTTCCTAGAAAAGTCACTTCATCTATATGGCTTTTCAGATAATTTCCTCTCTTTTATAGTAAAAATAAATAGGAAGAATTCATTCAGCTTCTGTGCAATCTTCGTATTATCTTTTAGTATTCCTTTAAGTGGTATTGTCTAATGATCCATTGCTGGTAACCTGCTGGTAAAAAGGCTAATGCTTTTATTATTGCTTGCATTCGTTTTGCCAACATTTATAGTCTATTGTTTTTCACAATGACATTTTTGAACTCTAAAAGCAGTTTGACTGTTCATGAACTTGGTGGTACTTTTCCTAATCTGTGCTATACAGTCTAATTGAGCTTCCACAGTTGTGGTTTTGAATCAATTTCAAGCATTCTAGAGAGATTTGACCCTCTGTATTTTCCCTTAAATATGACTGCACTGGGCTTTCATACATATAAATCATATATGTGAGTGACAGTGAATATAATGCTTCAATGATTTTATTCCCATGTCAAGATGATCTTGAACATTTTGATTAGAAGAGGCACAGTATCCTCTAATTCCAGACAATAGGTTTCCAACACGAAA